GACCCAAATAGATAAAATCATGAATGAAAATGGAATTATTACAACCAATCCCTCAGAGATACAAACAATTATCAGGGAATACTATGAAAAATTATATGCCAACAAACTGGACAACCTGGAAGAAATGGACAAATTCCTGAACACCCACACACTTCCAAAACTCAATCAGGAGGAAAGAGAAAGCTTGAACAGACCCATAACCAGTGAAGAAATTGAATCAGTCATCAAAAATCTCCCAACAAGTAAGAGTCCAGGACCAGATGGCTTCCCACGGGAGTTCTACCAGACGTTTAAAAGAGACATAATACCTATCCTTCTCAAGCTATTCCAAAAAATAGAAAGGGAAGGAAAACTTTCAGACTCATTCTATGAAGCCAGTATTACTTTGATTCCTAAACCAGACAGAGACCCAGTAAAAAAAGAGAACTACAGGCCAATATCCCTGATGAATATGGATGCAAAAATTCTCAATAAGATACTAGCAAATCGAATTCCACAGCATATAAAAAGAATTATTCACCATGATCAAGTGGGATTCATTCCTGGGCTGCAGGGCTGGTTCAACATTTGCAAATCAATCAACGTGATACATCACATTAATAAAAGAACATTATGATCCTGTCAACTGATGCAGAAAAGGCATTTGACAAATTCAGCAACCTTCTTAATAAAAACCCTTCAGAAAGTCAGGATAGAAGAAACATACTTAAACATCATAAAAGCCATTTATGAAGAGCCCACAGCTAACATCATCCTTAATGGGGAAAAACTCAGAGCTTTTTCCCTGAGATCAGGAACACAACAGGGATGTCCACTCTCACCGGTGTTGTTTAACATAGAGTTGGAAGTGCTAGCATCAGCAATCAGACAACAAAAGGAAATCAAAGGCATCAAAATTGGCAAAGATGAAGTCAAGCTTTCACTTTTTGCAGATGACATGATATTATACATGGAAAATCTGATGGATTTTCATTATACATGGACAATCCACCAGAAGTCTGCTAGAACTGATACATGAATTCAGCAAAGTTGCAGGATACAAAATCAACGTACAGAAATCAGTTGCATTCTTATACACTAATAATGAAGCAACAGAAAGACAAATAAAGAAATTGATCCCATTCACAATTACACCAAGAAGCATAAAATACCTGGGGATAAATCTAACCAAAGATGTACAAGATCTGTATGCTGAAAACTATAGAAAGCTTATGAAGGAAATTGAAGAAGATATAAAGAAATGGAAAAACATTCCGTGCTCATGGATTGGAAGAATAAAAATTGTCAAAATGTCAATACTACCCAAAGCTATCTACACATTCAATGCAATCCCAATCAAAATTGCACCAGCATTCTTCTCGAAACTAGAACAAGCAACCCTAAAATTCATATGGAACCACAAAAGGCCTCGAATAGCCAAAGTAATTTTGAAGATGAAGACCAAAGCAGGAGGCATCACAATCCCAGACTTTAGCCTCTACTACAAAGCTGTCATCATCAAGACAGCATGGTATTGGCACAAAAACAGACACATAGACCAATGGAATAGAATAGAAACCCCAGAACTAGACCCACAAAAGCATGGCCAACTAATCTTTGACAAAGCAGGAAAGAACATCCGATGGAAAAAAGACAGTCTCTTTAACAAATGGTGCTGGGAGAACTGGACAGCAACATGCAGAAGGTTGAAACTAGACCACTTTCTCACACTATTCAAAAAAATAAACTCAAAATGGATCAAGGACCTGAATGTGAGACAGGAAACCATCAAAACCCTAGAGGACAAAGCAGGAAAAGACCTCTCTGACCTCAGCTGTAGCAATTCCTTCCTTGACACATCTCCAAAGGCAAGGGAATTAAAAGCAAAAATGAACTACTGGGACCTCATGAAGATAAAAAGCTTCTGCACAGCAAAGGAAACAACCAACAAAACTAAAAGGCAACCAACGGAATGGGAAAAGATATTTGCAAATGACATATCGGACAAAGGCTAGTATCCAAAATCTATAAAGAGCTCACCAAACTCCACACCCAAAAAACAAATAACCCAGTGAAGAAATGGGCAGAAAACATGAGTAGACACTTCTCTAAAGAAGACATCCGGATGGCCAACAGGCACATGAAAAGATGTTCAGCGTCGCTCCTGATTATCAGGGAAATACAAATCAAAACCACACTCAGATATCACCTCACGCCAGTCAGAGTGGCCAAAGTGAACAAATCAGGAGACTATAGATGCTGGAGAGGATGTGGAGAAACGGGAACCCTCTTGCACTGTTGGTGGGAATGCAAATTGGTGCAGCCGCTCTGGAAAGCAGTGTGGAGGTTCCTCAGAAAATTAAAAATAGACCTACCCTATGACCCAGCAATAGCACTGCTAGGAATTTGCCCAAGGGATACAGGAGTACTGATGCATAGGGGCGCTTGTACCCCAATGTTTATAGCAGCACTCTCAATAGCCAAATTGTGGAAAGAGCCTAAATGTCCATCAACTGATGAATGGATAAAGAAATTGTGGTTTATATACACAATGGAGTACTACGTGGGAATGAGAAAGAATGAAATATGGCCCTTTGTAGCAATGTGGATGGAATGGAGAGTGTTATGCTAAGTAAAATGAGCCATACAGAGAAAGACAGATACCATATGTTTTCACTCTTATGTGGATCCTGAGAAACTTAACAGAAACCCATGGGGGAAAGGAAGAAAAAAAAAAGAAAAGAGGTTAGAGTGGGAGAGCCAAAGCATAAGAGACTCTTAAAAACTGAGAACAAACTGAGGGTTGATGGGGAGTGGGAGGGATGGGAGGGTCGGTGATGGGTATTGAGGAAGGCACCTTTTGGGATGAGCACTGGGTGTTGTATGGAAACCAATTTGACAATAAACTTCATATACTGAAAAAAAAAAAATTAAAACAGAACTACCCTATGACCAAGCGATTGCACTACTAGGTATTTATTCAAAGGATACAGGAATGCTGATTCAAAGAAGCACATCAATCTCAATGTTTATAACAGCACTATCAACAAGAGTCAAAATATGGAAATAGCCCAAATGTCCATCGACTGATGAATGGATAAAGAAGATTATATCTATATATACAGATTATAACTATCTATCTATCTAATGGAATACTACTCAGTGATCTAAAAGAATGAAACCTTGCCATTTGCAACGATATGGATGAAACTAGAGTATATTATGCTAAGAGAATTACCAGTCAGAGAAAGATAAATATCGTTATGATTTCACTCATGTGTGGAATTTAAGAAACAAAACAGATGCGCATAGGGGAAGGGAAGGAAAAATAAGATAAAAACGAAAAGGCGGCAAATCATAAGAGACTCTTAAATACACAGATGAAACTAAGAGTTGCTAGAGGGGAGGTGGGGCAAGGGGTTGTGCTAAATAATGTGTACTAAGGAGGGCAATTGTTGAGATGGGCACTGGGCGTTGTGTATAAGTGATGAATCACTAAATTCTACTCCTAAAATCAATACTACACAGTATGTTAATTATTTTGGTAAGTTTTGAGAGTATGGGAATACTACTGGAAAATAATGAAGTTTATCTTTCTCATCTTTAGTTTAACAATAAGCACAATTACTGCCTCATGGCTTACACAAATGCAAGATCACAGAAATATACAGAGAACCAGTGTTATTACTACAGCATAAGCTTTATGTGCTCTACTTAACAAAGCTACTTTTTAAATGACTGTTGTAGGGGCACCTGGATGGCTCAGTTGGTTGAGTGTCCAACTTTGGCTCAGAGCGTGATCTCACAGGTGGATAGCTGACAGATCAGAGCCTGGAGTCTGCTTCGAATTCTGTGTTTCCCTCTCTCTCTATCCCTCTCTGGCTCGTGCTCTCTCCCTGTCTGTCTGTCTCTCTCTCAAAAATAAATAAAACATTAAAAAAAAAAAAGAATGAAAGAAATGACTGTTCTAAAATGAGTATATCTTTTACCTTTTTCTATGTCTTTAAAAGACTGCTTGGTTATCTTGGAGGTACTAACTCCATAATCATTTTCAATTAAGTCTTCTTTTGCTTCTTTTTGCCTCAAATCTTGAAAAGAATCCAGTTCATCATCTAGGCTTTAAAAATAAAAAATTCTATCACAGCATTCTGGAAGTTTTCTACAGTATTTAAAAAAGATAAAAGTGCTTTCCAAATATTAACAGCACAAAAATTGAAAAAAAAGTAACAAGTAAACATTTTAAAGTGGAAAACATAAAAATATGAAAAATAACAGCCAATGGTCTAAAAACTCACTACAAACATCTTTCTACATATTCAAATGGGCACAATTTAAAATAACATACACCTATAGAATGTTCTACAACTGCCAATCTCTTTCCTTTGATTCCTAATATTTCTGTGAGGTCACTATAACAGGTAATGTCAGCTATAATTTTAGCTAAAAAAAATGTAATGTCTAACAGGAAGAAACCAAACCCTAAAGAATTTAAATAATGGACAGGTGACATAACTAGTAAGGTAAAGCAGAACTAGAATCTCAGGTGTTTTCTCCAAAAACATGATCTCAAAGTTGAAATTTCTAGAGCAGTGCTGTTCAAAGGAATATAAGTCAATCACATAAGATAATTTAAAATTCCCTAGTAGTCATACTAAAAACATAAAAAGACATAACATTTTAACGATGTATTATATTTAACCCAGTATACCTAAAAGATTATTTTAACATATAATCAATATAAAAATTATTAAGATATTTTGCATTCTTTATCCATCTTTGAAATCCGGTGTGTATTTTGTACTTACAGCATTTCAAGTACTCAATAGCCTCATGTGGCTTGTGGCTACTTGTGCTGGACAGTACTATAATTCCAGATTAGATAATAACTAGGGATTGTGAAAAAACTGTCTAATGTTATAAAAACTTTCATAGTTCAAAGGCTTCAAATTATAACTGGAAATTATACCCAGATTATTTATAAAAACAAAAAATGACAAAACTATCAGTTAAATATAAGAAAATAATTTCCAGAAATTCATAATCTGAAAACAAGTTTTTACTTTCCTTACTCTATATTCAATCTACCTCATGTCCAAATCTTAACTCTAGATTAACGATGCTACTTTGTGAATGCCAAATTAAACAGTAATAACAACAGTAATAGCACTTTGAGTGCTTTTCTATGTACTAAACACCGTTCTAAGTGCTTTATATGGATTAAATCATTTAAGCAGAGAAAGAAGCAATTATATAAAATATTCAAGCTCTCAAATATCAATTACATTAATATTATATGTATATTTTAGGCATAGTTAACTCTTCCTCTCCCCACAATTATCTCAACATTTCATTTTGTGTATGTATACATCTTTATGGTTTAACATTATTTCAAAATGTTGATACCCACAGCACTTTCTTCTGCCATGTATTTCTGGCTTTTAATAACACCTAACTTAGAACTTTATTTCATCTTAGCTTCCACTGTTTTTATACTGATTTCACTCACACAGTACAATCTCCTCTACAAAACTATTTACCCCTCACAGACCAACACTCTATCATGCATATTTTGTAGTTACCAACTCACCAGACCGGTTTCTTCCATCTCTTTCTCTCAACTACCTAAAATATAGCTTACCACCCTAGTAGACAATGAATGTGGTGTTAAACATCACTGCCCAACAAACCTGCATTCATTTTTATCCTACATCCTTTAAAAAAAAAAAGGAAAGAAAGAAAGAAAGGGAATATGGTGTTCATTTGGGTCCTGGATGAATAACCATAAAAATAACTTCACGTTTTGTACTGTGTAAATAACTTTCCATTATACTACCAAATGTAATGAACGCTAGGTTCATGCTTTTATAACAAAGATCTCAGTAAAAATAAATCAGTCTCTATAACCAGTCAGCAAGCTCCAGACTGCTTGTTACTTCCTCAAAAAAAAAAAAAAAAAAAAAAGGCAAAGACATAAACAAACCACTCTTTAATCTCCCAGTTTTTTAGACACTGAGGGGATAGCAACAGTAAGGATTCAGGGTACTTTACCAATTCACATTTAACTGTTTGAATGAACTACAAAGTGGCGTTGTGCAATGCTTTCTTTCATCGGAATAACATCTTAATGATGAACCAACTTTATCAACAGATGAGAAGATATCCAAATCATCTGTTAACAAAAGAGAAAAAAGCAGAGATTACTAAGATCAGATACTAATCTCATTCTAGGCTTCTAAGGTAAGATGGCAAAATTATGTAATGATTTCTTATGTGTATATCTCTGTAACACAAACTTCAGAAAACAGGCATCAAGCCTTGTATTAACATGGCACTTTACTGATTACAAAATGCTCTTTCGTTTATTACCTTATTTGATCCTAGCAACAGCTAGCTTACTCTGAAGTAAGCAGAATTGGTGCCTTTAACCCTATTCTAATGGTGGTAAGTCTAAGGACCAGAGAAGTTAGTGAAGTTATCTAAGTAACAGAACCAGCAAGTGGAAAGATTAAAATTCAGAATTCAGCCTTCTTCCTACCTAATCATGATATTTCATCAGTCTCAAACATTAAACATTTTATTTTTTAATTTTATATATTTTAAACATTCAACATTTAACAGATTGTTAGCCTGTATCCAAATTCAGAGACTAAAAGGCAAAGAGAGCTTCTCTGATAAGAAATTTAGAATTTTTTTTTCCTTAAGGTTTTATTTTTAAGTAATCTCCACAGCCAATGTGAGGCTCAGACTTACAACCCCAAGATCGGGAGTCACATGCCCTACTGACTGAGCCAAGCAGGAATCCCTATAAATATTTTTAAATGTATGCACCTTTGTCTAATATGCATTTTTACCCCATCAGAAATTAAATGAGCTATACTTTTTGTTACATTTTAGAAAGCTGGAAATTTTAGGCTAAATTTCAAACTAAAATACAATTTTAAGATATTTTTTAGATACTAGACTCAGAAATAACTGGGTCTTTTTTTCACACTGAAGAAATGTTTCAAGAGTGTTTACAAAATTTCAAAATGAAATAAACTTGGAAAAAAATGAAATTCTCTAATCTACTCTGACAAAACTTTTAAAGATACTGTTTTTGTTGCAATCACCTCAAAATTCAACGATTGTACTTACTTGTAAAAACATCACCAAAGAAGTATCAACAAATCAAAAGACTAATGGTTAGTTATACAATACTTCCAGATTGCCACATAATGTTCCAATGCACCCAATCCCACAATATAATTATCTTTATCAAGTACATTTGATAAATTCTTCCAGTGCAACAATTATTATCTCAGTAACTTGGAAAGTCTATGCCTTAAAAAGAAGCAGTTTTCTTTATCCCACATACTTTACCCAATTTCTAAAGGCAAAAAAAAAAAAAAAAAAAATTGTAATTGAAACACCAAAAAAATTAATTCAATTTGATTTAAAGACATCTTACATTTACCCACAAAATCTTGGTTACTATTAGTTTGTTACCCGATTGAAGAAAGCTTAATATCACAAGATATCTGGCACTTAGTCTTAAATCTAAACATTTTTTTTTAATGTTTTCTCTTAAATTAAATTTGTTAAAACCCCCAAGTATACAAAATACTCTATCAGCTTACCTGGGGAGGTTAGAGATCTTCTCTTCCATTTAGCCTGATCAAAATTTGAAAAATCATACTTTAAAAAAAAAAGATATATTTAATTTGTATATTAAGAATCAATCTACAGTCTCAAAAAAGAGTTCCCCACCAATTATGTACTAAGTACAAGGGTTAATTACAAAGGTTAGAGTGGACAAATCTTGTAGACACTACCTTAACCAACTGGTTAAAATTAATATCGGGAATAACAGGACAAAGCAACATTGCAAGTCTCCTAATGAACAAGCGCAACCCACACATCACTCCCTGTAGTATTCCTGCCAAAAATGCATAACCAGATAGTCACGAGGAACAGCCATCAGAGAAACTCCAGTTAAGGGACAGTCCAATACACAGTTATCCTGTACTCTTCAAAAATAGCAACATTAGGGGGGCGCCTGGTGGCGCAGTCGGTTAAGCGTCGACTTCAGCCAGGTCACGATCTCGCGGTCCGTGAGTTCGAGCCCCGCATCGGGCTCTGGGCTGATGGCTCAGAGCCTGGAGCCTGTTTCCGATTCTGTGTCTCCCTCTCTCTCTGCCCCTCCCCTGTTCATGCTCTGTCTCTCTCTGTCCCCAAAATAAATAAATGTTGAAAAAAAAAATTAAAAAAAAAAAAAAGCAACATTAGGGATGCCTGGGTGGCTCAGTTGGTTGAGCAACCTACTCTTGATTTCCACTCAAGTCATGATCCCAGGGATCAAGCCTGGTGTTGGGCTCCACACTGGGCTTGGAGCCTGCTTAAGACTCTCCCTCTGCCCACTCTCCAGCTCCCGGTCTCTCTCACTAAAAAAATAAAATAAAATATCAACATTATAAAAGACATGGGCTTAAGAACCTGTTCCAGATTAAAAAAACAAAACAAAACAAAACCAAAACAAAAAACAAACCAAATGCAATGCTCATCTTTAGACTGTATCTGCACCAGAGCGAAAATGTATAAAGGACATTATTGAGATAATTGGTGAAATCTGAATACGAACTATATGTTACATATTATTGTATAAATGGTCAGCTTCCTCAATTTGTTACTGCAAATATAAGAGAATATTCTTATTCCTAGAAAATACATTTAAGTATTTATATTTGGGGGTAAAAGTGTCACAGCACCGGCAAATTATCCTTAGTTAAAAGGAAAAAAATGTGTGTAGGGAGTCAAAAATACGAAGATTAATAGTAACGCAAATGTGGCGAAATGTTAACCAATGGCAAATCCATGCGAAATGCTCAAGAGTTCCTTGTATATTCCTGCAACTTTAAATTTGGATTTTTTTTTTCAAAATAGGAAAGTTTTTAAATAAATTAAAATCGCTTTTCGAACTCCGCTCAAGTCACTGTAAATAAAAGTTCAGATACACTTTCAACAGTGTCATGCTATGCCTGTAGTAACATAAACCTTCAAGAATTTACAGTGAAGAACTTTTTTTATATAAAATGGGTTTTTCCCACATATGGTGCATCTGTGGCCACAAATGACTTCTGCCCCCGCAGCTACGTTTCGCTAACCCTGGTTCTGGCGGAGCTGCTCGAGCCTCGGAGAGTGGCTCCCTCCCCCAGGGTCCTTCTGAACAGCGGCCCCGAGGCCTCTGGCGCAGCTAGCTGCCCGGCAGGCCGCTTCACACCGGCAGAAACCGGCCCGCGGGCCCAGGGACAAGGCCGAGGAAAGGGCGAAGCCTCACCTCGGCGAGGTGCCTGGCCCCTAGTCCGTACAGGCTTTTCAGACGCTCTACTACCAAATCCTGCCCCGGCGGCTTCACTACCCTCGCTTCCATGGTGCACCAAGTCCGCCGTTGTTTCCCCGGGAACAGCGTTCAAACCCACCGCGGCCGGACGCGCAGGGTCGAAGCTCGCGCAACGGAACTGCGTCATGACGCACGGCACGCTCCGCCTCTCGGGGGTCAACAGCTACGCCGAAGCGCTCGTAGTTCGACCCGTCCCGGGGCGCTTTCACTATGGTGGGACCCACGCTCCGCCGCAGGCGACAGCGACAGAGGCGCGCGTGTTAGGGCCCCTTGGTCTGGCTCTCTGTACTATGTTAAAAACGTCCTGGCGGTACAAATGTTTTTCCTGCCGAATATTTTAATGACTAATTCCTTCACCACTGTTATTTTGACTGATGGTGTTTTGTCTTGTCTTACAATTTTGTTAACTTAAGTTTTCCTCCCTCGTATCCAAGGCACCAAAAAAAGCAGGGTTGTTCACAGCAGTTACACCTTAGCTGATGTGGCCCCTCAAGAGAGGGAACTCAGGCTTGGCCTCAGGCACCACCCCCACCATGGCGTCAGGTAAGGAGATACAGCTTTCAGGGTGCCAGGATGGCTCAGTCAGTTAAGCATCCAACTCTGGATTTTGGCTCAGGTTATGATCTGGTGGTTTGAGTCTCTCATCAGGCTTTGCGTAGCCTGCTTGGGTTCTCGATGATGTTCAACAGCATGTCTGGACTAACAAATCCTAGATTCTCTGGATTATCTTTAGTTTTTCAAATGCCAAAGTTTTACAAGATCATCTTACTAAAGTATTATCTGAAAATTATTTAAACCAATAAGTTCTGCCATCAAATATTAGTGTACAAATAATGAACATTTTTATATTCTATTTTAAGCAGATTTTTAATGGGACAATATAAAATCGAACCAGTTTGGGGGGGGGGGAGTACATCTCAGTGTGGATTTATACTGCATTAGCAATTAAATAAAGAGAAATCAGTCCTTTCTCATTAATGTCTCAAGCCACTTGTAAGCATTTTTGGAATACTAATTCTGGAAGTCAGTTTACATGTCATTTAATCAAATTTTTGGTCCAAGTATTATTAGCTTTTAAAGCTTAATACATTGTTTTAATGCTTTATGATAGCACAGTAAATAGTGTAAAACTGGTTTCTATAATCTCTAAAGCACACTTGCCTTCACTTGGAATTTATTCTAAAATGTCAAAGGGTTCCAGCTCAAAAACAACACACTTTATGTCAACTTATATTACTTACATAGGTCTCCAAAGAAGCCAGTTCTTAATATTAAATGTGCATATATGTCATCCATAGTTGTCTTTAAGGTCCAGGTTAAGTTCAACTGATACACTGGAGTAGGTTTATTTCCGTTATCTGGCTTTGTGGCCAAGTGAATTTAGTGATGGTATTTCATCACTCATTACTCACATAACACACCACACATGACATCCCTTCCTCCTTTGGTGGTTGAACAAGTATTATGATAGCCTATTTCCAAATCCCCAAATAATGGAATAAACTCCCACTGTCTTTCACTAAACAAAATGAAATTATTTCACTGGGAAGAACACAGGAGGGTATAGGAAGGTCACTGTTGGTAACTGGAATACACAAAATTTTGTGCTCTAACTACATTCTTTGTAGTTCTATATTGAATAGGCTGATGAGAATACCTTTCCCCAACCCCCACCCCACCGCCTTTTAAGCAGTTTGCCTAACTTTTGTCATTAGCCAAAATAACATTTATTCCAATGGAATAAATTTGGAACATTTATTCCAAATAGATGTTCAGTGTGTATCAAACTTGAACAGAAATCACTTCCTTTGGGAGCTCTGGAGATTATATGGCAGTCTGAGTTTACAGAACTTTAACTGTCCTCCTCACTTTGGCTCTAGAATGAACAAACAACTAGATGCACAAGTAATAAATTTTTTAAATGTCATGGCTGTTAACAATTGTCACTTTATTTTTGCTACAAAATTCACCAGAGAAAAGTACTGCAACAATCTAGTATAAAGCAAATCTTTAACCAAAGAACATGGTATAGACCTTTTTAAAATAGTCATACTTTATCACAATAACTGCAAGGAAAAATTCAAGTTCTATCAGAACCAAGCTGCAGTTTGAGGTAGTAGAAAGATGACAGGAAAGTTAAAAAAAAAAAAATTAAATAAAATAAAAACTAAGGACATACTTAAATTGTTTAAAATGTAAAAATTAATTTAATACCTTTGAAAGGGCACAGGAAACTACATATCATTTTAAGAAAAGAAGGTACTCTACTTAAAAGTTAATTTAACTATACAGGAGGTGCAAGGATTATAGAAGAGCACTTTGGTTAAGTCTCTACCCTCTGTGGCTTTACCCATTCAAAAGTGAGCCTCAATGCATAAATGAGCACACCAACAGTTAAAATTACCAAATATATTTCAAATCTAAAATAAAAATTATCCAAGTTGTGGTCCCTTATTCGAATGGTAAGTTTATCCATGCAGGAAGTCCAATATCTTAAAAGGTAAAATTAAATTGCATATATCATAATCCTTCAATAGTTTGAGAAGGTCTATTGCTTTTAACAAGATTAATATTATTCCATTTTAATACAGATATGTCAGGAGTACATAAACACAAGTACACCTGATTTACACCAGTGTTTAAACTTTTATTTCACACCATGCAAGGTCAATTATAACACATTAAAAAGTGACAACAGCTATAAGCTGCAATTTTACATTTGTACATTGGAAACGTCCATTTTCAAAAGCTGAACATAATTACCATATTGTCATAACAGCTAAGCTTCAATTCAACTGTTTATACAGGTAAAACTTACTATGAAAAACAATGATTTTATATCTGTCCACATTCTGTGATACTAATTCTTCGACTAACAGACCCTTTAGGAGAGCCAAATGATTCGATCTTTTTCACAGTATCCATGCCATCCTTAACAAACCCAAATACTACATGCTTGAAGTCCAAATGTTCTGCTTTTTTCAGTGTTATATAAAATTGAGAATTATTGGTGTTCTGGCCTCGATTGGCCATTGATAGTAAGCCAGGCCCAGTATGTTTAACATCAAAATTTTCATCTTCAAATTTATCTCCATAGATGGACCGTCCTCCTGTACCATCATGTTTGGTGATATCTCCCCCCTGAAAAAACATCTCAGTTAATAGGAATCCTGAATAAAATATTAAAATACACACAGAACTACCACTACAGGATAAATTCTAAACACCCAACTTCTTTGAGAATGTGGTTTGAAAACTAAGAAACATAGTTCTTAAAAATAAGAAAATTTTGAAAGACAAAAATGAAAATGTCTTTTTTCCATCCTCAATTTCCAGCAGGTTTCAAGATATTAGAAATTTGAACTACTTCTGGGGCGCCTGGGTGGCGCAGTCGGTTAAGCGTCCGACTTCAGCCAGGTCACGATCTCGCGGTCCGTGAGTTCGAGCCCCGCGTCAGGCTCTGGGCTGATGGCTCAGAGCCTGGAGCCTGTTTCCGATTCTGTGTCTCCCTCTCTCTCTCTGCCCCTCCCCCGTTCATGCTCTGTCTCTCTCTGTCCCAAAAATAAATAAACGTTGAAAAAAAAATTTAAAAAAAAAAAAAAAAAAGAAATTTGAACTACTTCAGGTTGAAAGTTTTTGTGGGGACAGGAAATTGGGTGGTGACAACAACTAATGTACAGAAAAGCTAAAGAAATCTTAAAAAACTTAAGAGAAACACTCAAATTTCCTAAGTTAGTGTGGTTCCCTTTTCTAGACTTCAGTTGTGACATACAATTAAATACTTACTTGGCAAACAAAATCTGGAATTACTCTGTGAAAAATGGAGTTTTTGAAGCCAAAGCCTTTCTCTCCAGTGCAGAGTGCTCTGAAGTTCTCGGCAGTATGAGGAACAATGTTTGAAAATAACTCCATGGTTATACGTCCAAGGGGTTCATCATCTGCACAAACATCAAAAAACACCACAGGATTTGTCTCCTTCGATAACTCTGCTGTCAGTGATACTTGTCCTTTCTGGAGTTTCAATAAATTCTGTTGACATTCTTCAAATTTTTTCTTAAAAGACTCAGCCATTTCTTTAGTTTTAAATCTCACTGCAAGCTGCTCCACTTTGGCTTCTCCATCTGTTCAACAACAACAAAACAAAACAGTGACCTTAATGTTAAAATCACTGTTACAATTGTCTTACGTATTTTTTTATGTATTTTTAAAAAGTTCAAAAAGTGGGGGCACCTGGGTGGACCAGTCGGTTAAACTTCCGACTCCTGGTTTCAGCTCAGGTCATGATTTCACGGTTCGTTGAGTTCGAGCCGCACTTCAGGCTCCACACTATCAGTGGGGAACCTGCTTGGGATTCTCTCTCTCCCTCTCTCTCTGCCCCCCACCCGCTTGTGCTTTCCCTCTCTCAAAATAAACTTAAAAAAAAAAAAAAATTCAAAAAGTGAGAAGTAGCATTGAATGTACTCACCAGCATAATCTGAGGCAGTCCAAACTAAAGCATTGTTTGAAACATTCAAGGGTTTTAATTCCATTGTTTTGGTGATAACATGGTTTGCACACACTTTAAAAACCTGGTCTCTTCTCATTAGGATCCGATAGTAATTCTTCATTGTATGCCACAGTATCTTTATATCTCCAACACCTCGCTCCTTCCACTGACTAACATCTCGATCCCATCTATAAAGTTTGGCTCTCTCTTTAAATAAAATTTCTTCATCTTCTTCTCCAGATTTTACTTCTACCTATGGCAGTAGATAAATAAGCTCCTGCTTTTGACATATTCCATGACAAATTCCAAACATCCAAATTCCTCATGACATTGTCTTTGTAATGACATTAACAGAATTTGAACTATAGTATCAAGATAAATAGTAATATCCAAGGGCTACGAATACATCTGATTTGGATGGAGCAGTAAAGACCTGATTTGTCATTGAACATTTTTCCCTTATGTAGTATTCTTCCTCCTTCTGGAAAGTAATACATTCTTTTATAGGACAGTAAAGGTTTCAAAAAGTATTCTTCAAAAGAAATATTAACCATTGTGGTTGAAAACTGACCAAGTAATTTGACTAAAACAACATTCCTGTCCAGAAAA